GTCACGCAATAATTGGCTGAACTACCCCAACTAGCTGGGCTACTGGAGCTCGAAACTGGGGAGCTATCTTCTCCGGAGCGGGAGTAGTGGGAGTCTGTGCTCCTCCCCCAGCCTATGAGACGGCTGGAGCCACTAGAACTGTACCATTCTGGGCCACTCCCTCCATAAGACTCACGAAACAGACTAGAGCGTCCTGAAGCACTGGAGTAGCTATGAATCCCTCCAGGAAGGTGAACTGGTCCAACATGTACAATCTGAACTGGAACCTCCTCCTGAAGATCCACCTGAGGCTCCACTACGGGTGCTGCTGCTCGAGCTCTAGCTTGAGCTCTGCCTCGGCCTCTGCGTGACCTCGGCCTCTACCTCTACCCCTAGTCATAGTTGCCAACGGGGGCTCTGGTCACTGTCAGTTAGTAGATGTATTACGTGCTCTCACCATCAGTGAAAGAATAAGAATATAATGGTTTAATCATCGGTGATAGAATAGAATCGCACTATAGAATAAGAAAGAAGTGATATTGTTCCTAAACTTCATAGCCTTTGAAAGATAAGTACAGACGTCTCTGTACCGATCCTTCAGACTCTACTAAGCTTGCACGTGACTTGTGAGACCTATGTAACCTAGTGCTCTGATACCAACTTGTCACGACCCAAAATTCCCACCTTCAGGACCGTGATAGCGCTTAACATTTCACTTGCTAGGCAAGCCAACGTTAAAATAATCGCAACCATTTTTTTTAAAAACAAATCAAACTAAACAGAATTCAATTACTGAATAAAGTGCGGAAGACCACAACAACCGAATCATCCAGATACATCCCCAAATCTGGTATCACGAGTGCATGAGCTACTAGAATAATACAAATAAAGGTTTCAATAAAATTCAAGTTGTTTGAAAGATAATACACGGCTAAGATAAAATAGAAGGGGACTTCAGGACTGCAGACGCTGTGCAGTTATACCTCAAGTCTCATTTAGGTAGCTAAATCTGAGCAAGTCTATGGTAAGCCGCTAGGACCAACTCCCAAATATGCACAAGAAGTACAGAGTGTAGTATGAGTACAACTGACCCCATGTACTCCGTAAGTGTTGAGCCTAACCTCGACAAAGTAGTGACGAGGCTATGACAAGACACGTACGTAAACAACCTGTACAAGTATATACAAATACGAAGCAACAATAACACAATAAATAACAATTTAAAATTTTGGGAGGGAACATGCGAAGGGGAATGATATAATAATTTCAGCAGGAGAAGTGTCACGTAACAACCAATTAATTCATCCACAATAAAATGAGCAGCTGATAATATGAAAATGGCACGACACCACCCTTCATGTTTTTACTCTCATTCTTCCCAAAAATTGATAAATAAATAATAAGATTGGCACGGCATCACCCTTCATGCTTTAACTCTCTTCTAGCACAGCATCACCATTCATGCTTTTACACTCATTGGAAATGGCATGGCATCACCCTTCATACTTTTACACTCAAAATGGCAAGGCATCGCCCCTCGTGCATTTACACTCTTTCTCACCATGACAAGGGATAATATAAATAATATAAATGGCACGGCATCACCCTTCGTACTTTTACACTCTTCCACAGTATTCAACAATAATTAAATCAATAATAATTTCATGATTAATGATCAAATAATCAATAATAAACTTAAGCAGGAATACCTTAATTAAATAGGCAATTATTCAAAATGAACAAATTCCTCCAGCATGATTTGACTCAACCACAACGCATAAGTACTTATCACCTTCCTCCAGCATGATTTGACTCAACCACAACGCATAAGTACTTATCACCTTCCTCCAGCATGATTTGACTCAACCACAACGCATAAGTACTTATCACCTCATATATATGTTGTACCCACACATTAAATCAAGTAGGAAATAGACAAACAAGTCCTACTCCCTCAAGTCAAGGTTAACCACGACACTTACCTCGATTTGCAACCAACTCCGAAAGCTTAAAATCTAGTCACAAACAATTCAACATACTCAACACGATTCGTAGGAATTAATTCAACATGAAATTACTAATTTTTCTGAATTAAAATCCAAAATTCATTTCAAAAATCAACAGTGGGTCCCATGTCTCGAATCTCTAAAAAACTCATGAAATCCGAGCACCCGTTCCAAGATGATTCCAACCATATAAAATATATCAAGTTCCGATGTCAAATGGACCTTCAAATAGTAAATTTTTTGTTTTGAAAGGTTTTACAAAAATTCCAATTTCTTCCATCTAAATCTGAAATAAACGATGAATATAGATATGGATTAACAAAATATGATCAATATATGATAAGGAAAAATTACCCAGTTCGAAGTCGTGAAAAACTCCTTCAAATCGCCCAAAAACCTAGGTTTTAAAACCCAAACGAAATGAAGAAAAGTGGCCATTTTTGACCCCTTAATGTTTTGCCCAGTCTTGCATTTGTGGGAAAAAGGTCGCATCTATGGCCTCGCATTTGCAAGACAAGGGCCGCATTTGTGAAGCCAAGCAGCCAAGCAAGTTCCACATCTACGGAAAATGGGCTGCATTTGCGGTTGTGCAGAAGCACAAGAAGGAGCCGCAGAAGCGACGAGGTGCACATTTGCGATCGGCTGGCCGCAAAAGTGGTATCGCACTTGCGATCAAAGCTTCACAGAGGTGAAGCTTCCTTTCCCAGCCTCAATGTCGCAGAAGCGACATTTCCTTCGCAGAAGCGGACACGCACCTATGGCCAAAAATGCACAGGTGCGACGCACTGAAACCATCACTGGACAGCATGTTCCAAATGGTCTGTGGCTCGTCTGAAATTCATCTGAGCCACTCGGGACCTCGTCCTAATATTCCAAAAAGTCTTGTAACATAATACGAACTTAATCAGGGTCTCAAATCACATCAAATAACATCAAAATTACAATCCACACCTCGATTCGGACTTAGGAGTTTCAAACTTTTCCATTTACTAAACTCATGTCGAAACGAATCCAGAATGACTTCAAATTTGGCGCACAAGTCATAAATGACATAAAGGAGCTATTCAAATTTCTAGAATCTAGTTTCAACCCAGATATCAATAAAATCAAATCTGCGGCCAAACTTGGGAATCTATAAGTTTTTAAACTTCCAATTTTCAACAAATGGCGATAACTAAAGCTAGGGACTTCCGAATTTGATTTCAGGCATATGCCCAAGTCTCAAATCATGATACGGACCCTCTGGGACCGTCAAAAATACCGATCCATGTCTGTTTCCTAAAAGTGTTGACCGAAGTCAACTCAGTTGAGTTTTAAAGAATTATTTCTCATTTTTATCAATTTTTCATATAAAATCTTTCCGAGAAAATACACGGACTGCGCACGCAAGTCGAAAAATGCTTAATAGTGCTATTCGAGGTCTCAGAACACATAAATGAATATTAAATTTAAATATGAACTTTTGAGTCATCACACCTTCGTGCTTAATACTTTTCTTCACATGATAGAATATTGAAATGGCACGGCATCACCCTTTGTACTTTACACACTTTCTCACATGATAATATATATATGCAATGACCAATAAGGTGGGAAGCATAAATAACGTGAAGGAGAGTGGTTATACGAATGTTCCAAATGAACCTCAATTACACTTCCAAGCCAACAGTAGTTCAATAAACCCTCAAGAACCTTATTGTCCAAGTATTTCAACAAATCAAAAAAAAATATCTACAACTCAAGTATAGAATCTATTATCTCAAGAATAACGGTTGTAGCAATGTATTAGTGGTTAAGCATAATGATGACCGAATTAGAAACATCAATATTTCTCAAACTGCCGTCAAATTTTAATCAAGTTATAATAAACTAAATCTTGGTTCCTAATATTTAATTCCATATTCTTAATAATCTAGAAGTAAAGTAAGACTGTCATGATCCAAAATTTCGTGATGGCGCCTATCTCAATACTAGGCAAGCCGATAACCTCAATGAATCACAATAATCTTTTAACTTTGAAAACTTAATATTTAGATTTAATAGAAAAATCCCACAAATACTTATACAAATACACTCCCAAAACCCGGTGTCATCGAGTACCTGAGCATCTAAATGATAACATAGTCTGACTGATACACACAATGTATGGAAATGTAGAACAGTACAAATAACTGAAAGGAAAGTGAGTCAAAGTCTGTGGTCGCCAAACTAGCTACCTCGATAGTCTCCAACAGATAAATCCCCCAAAATCAAGCAGTCGCCGTATCCAGAGGTACCTGGGTCTGCACACGAAGTGAAGAGTGTAGTATGAGTACACCCGACCCAATGTACTCAATAAGTACCAAGACTAACCTTTGGGCTGAAAGTAGTGACGAGCTCAACAGGTACATTCCAATATAGAAATAACAATAAAAAAATGTAGGCATGCTTTCAAGTTCAACAGTTAAAACTCAGTACAAGTAAAATACATCAATTCGGAATGATATGAGGAATATGAAATCTCTATATCTACATGCTAATGTACCTGATGTATGTGATGCACCTCAGTGAAACTTCGTGTACTCACACTCTCAAAATACTCAATCACTCAGTACTGTATATGGCCAATCCGGCCCAAGGAAGATGCATCCCAAATATAATATCAACTGACAGTCAGTCACTCAGTATTGTATAAGGCCAATCTTGCCCAGGGAAGGTCCATCCCCAAATATAAATGATTCGGGCAAGATCCATGCCCAGGTAATATCCATCCCTCAATATAAATAATTAGGCAAGATCTATGCCAAGGAAAATCCATCCCAAAAATGTAAATAATTTAGGCAAGATCCATGCCCGAAGAAGATCCATCCCTCAATATAATATCAACTACGCTCACTGTGTGGGGTTTTGTAACGATCCGACCGGTCGTTTTGAGTATTTATGCTCATTTCAATAATTTAAAGTCTTGAATAGCTTCATATGATGTATTATGACGTGTGTGAATCGTCGGTTTTTGTTTTCAAGTGTTTCGGAATTAGTTCGGAATAATGAATGTCATGTTTGAAGCTTTAAGTTGGAAGAGTCAACCAAGTTTGATTTTTTAGTATTTGACCTCGAAACAAAGTTTTGATGGTTTCGTTAGGTCCGGATGAAGATTTTGCACTCGGTCGTATATCCGAAATTTCATTTGGATATTTCTAGAAGGTTTCGACACCAATTGGCAAAAGTTAGAAACTTGAAGGTTTGGAATGTTCATGAGTTTGACCGGAAGTTGACTTTGATGATATCGTGCTTGGATTTCGTCCAGAAATTTGAATAGCTTCGTTATGTCATTTACGACTTGTATGCAAAATTTGAGGTTATTCCGGATCGATTAGATATGTTTCGGCACAAGACCTAACTTTGGACAAGAATATCTACATATATATAAGGAGTTATGTGATGGTGGACAACCTATCAAATGAAAGATCTTCGACTCTAGTTTCTAACTCTTCAAACCGTTCATAATTTGGACATTTCTACAAGTTATGACCAAATTTCCAAAGGTTAGCAGAGAAGTGAACTACGGATGCGAAGAATCCGGGGCCGCGTCCGAGAGAAGGGATGGTAGTGAAGTGCTGCCATAGCATCCGAGTCCGCGTCCGAGCTTTGAAAAGGAGTGAACTGGGGATGCGAAACATCCGGGGCCGCGTCTGAAACCCAGAAATCTAGGCTTATATTCGGGGTTCATTTTCCCCACTTCATTTGGATGGATTTTGGAGCTCTTCTCCACTCACTCAAGACCACCAACTCCTCTCTTCTTCAGGGTAAGCAATCCCCATTATCTTAATATGAAATTCCATCATTTATACACTAGTATTGATGAAATCTACACATAAAATACTTAGGAGGGTTTTGCAAGATTTCTTCCAAAAAGGTAATCCTACACTCTAAGACTTACATGTACAGATTTATTATGGGAAGATGAGTATGAATTAAGTATTGGAACTCATGGTATGGTGATTGGAAGCCATAAATTTCCAATTTAAATACATAACCATGGCAGAGATTGAAAGGTGATTAATTGATGTAATTTTGTCGGTTATGTGTAGATGAATGGTCACGTATGTGATGATTGGAAGTTATAAATTATTTGTAAATGGTGTTAGTTGGATGAACTAATTTCATGGTTAAGAGATATAGAGATTTATGCACTCTAGATATTTGATAAAATGCCTAAATGAACTGTAACCTGGAAATTTTACTAATATTGGTCCAATTAAATTATGTTGATATAGATTGAAGTTATAAGAGTAGTTGGATGTTTTAATATAACTAAAGAGATGAATCAAGAATGCTCGGTTTGTTGCGATTTTTGCCGAGGTATTTTCAAGGAAATATTCATCTGGATCCGAGCCATTCGGAGTTGGATAATCGCGGAAAAGGCTTACCAGTGGATTGAGTTAACATGTTTTGAGGTATGTAACACTTCTAAACTTAGAGCTAAGGTGTGAACCCTGATTATATGTGTTATGTGATTTGTTTGGAGATGACGCACATGCTAGGTGACGGGCGTGTGGGCGTGCACCATAGAAATTGAGACTCAGTCGATTCCGTAGAGCTGTGTAGTCAATTAACATGTAGTTTTCCATGTATTTTTCATGTGTTAGAGAAACTGAGTTGTGACTCTTGTTAGAAATCACGCTTAGGCAAATACTGGTTATATTGGGACCCACTGAGGTCATTTCTGCTGTCAAATTATATGTTCAAACTGTAATTTCATACTCGNCCCCACACACACACAGTGAGTGCATTGGAAATTATATTTGGGATGGAGTTCCCTGGGTAGGGCATGGAGTTGCCATATATATTCACTTCTGGGATGGAGTTACCTTATTTATTTATACTTGGGATGGAGTTCCCTGGGCATGGAGTTGCCTTATTTATTTATATTTGGGATAGAGTTCACTAGGCATAGAGTTTCCCTATACATTTATATTTGGGATGGATTTCCCTGGGTTGGATTGGCCTTGTACATTACTGAGTGACTGAATGTCAGTTATTATGTATATATATTTGGGATGGATCTTCCCTGGGCTGGATTGGCCATATACAGTACTGTGATATTGAGTACTCTAAGAGTGTGAGTACATGAGTTCATTATTGTGCAGCATTGCATTAGACATGCATACTTGATATGTAGGCATAGAGAAGTATTTTTCCTCATGCCATCTGATAATGAGATTTCTTATCTGTCGTTAAAGTTTTTGAGAAAAATCACAGGTTTCAGACTTACTCATTTTCGGTTACTTTCGGCAAAAGATTTGAGTTTTACTATTATATTGAAAAGAAAATATTTATTTTTCCGGAATTTTATACGAGCTGAGCATTTTATTATTGAGTTATTACTTGTGCTGCTTTAAATTGTACTATTAGGAGATGTTATTAGTTATTGGAGTTGGACACATACCCTTGTCTCAGCTCGTCACTACTTTCAACCTAAGGTTAGGTTTGTTACTTATTGAGTACATGGGGTCGGTTGTACTCATACTACACTTCTGCACCTTGCGTGCAGATTTTGGATGTTGTTGTTGTTGTACTTGGCAGGAGCTGGCATTGAAGATGTACCTGCAATCCAGTCACAGCTGCCTCTTGCTCTTGGTCAACGTTTTGAAATAGTGCTTCAAAACTCATTTAAGTTGACTTCTGTCAACGTTTTGAACAAACAGACCCGGATCAGTATTTTGACTATCCCGGTGAGTCCGTATCATGATTTGGGACTTGGGTGTTGGAATTCGATAATTTTTGTATGGTTGAACTCGTATCGAAACGGGTGTTCGAATTTGGTAAATTTTTGTCGGGTTCCAAAACGTGGGCCCTACGTTGACTTTTGGTTGATTTTTTCGAAAATGACTTAAATTAAATCTCTTTTGAATTGTGAAGAATTTTTAAAGCTCCAATTAAATTGTTGATTAATAAATATCTAGGTTTGATTGGTTTGGAGACTAATTCGAAAGGAAAAGTCGTGGTCGAGTGATCACTTGAATTGCGAAATAAGGTAAGTGTCGTGGTTAACCTTAACTTGAGGGACTAGAACCCTTGAACTATGTGTTATGTGAATTTCATGTGTAGCGACCTATAGATTAGGTGAAGTGTCTATACGTCACCAAATTGCTTGTTTCCATGTTTCTACATATTCCACTAATTGCCTCATTTCATGAATTAATTGATTCTCTTATTTTCATTGTCTACTATTATGCTTTGATTTCATGCCTTAATTGCTACCTGCTTATTTGATTTTTGCGCCATAATTGCTACTTGAAAATTAACATTTCATATATTAAATTGCATATCTCTTCCCTGATTCCACACTTATTTGTTAATTGCCCTTATTTGTATCCTACATAATTTATAATTGTTGTATACCTTGTTTCCTAATAGTTTCATATTAATTGTGGCTTTTATTGAAGTAATCTTACGTATAAGTGTTGTTAATTTATATTGTTGGATCGGGTTGCACGCCGCAACAAAATTTATTTGAAAGATTATATTGTGGGAACGGGCTGCTCCCCGCAACAGAATGATAAAAGAAATAATTGATTGTGACTGCCGAATTGGCCTCAATTGTTGATATGACTTACCTGTCTTATTTTTGTTCCTGTTATTATTATTATTGCATACAGGTTAATGTAAGCGACCTGCCTTAGCCTCGTCACTACTTCGTCGAGGTTAGGCTCGGCACTTATAGAGTATATGTGGTCGGTTATACTCATACTACACTCTGTACTTCTTGTGCAGATACCGAAGTTGGTCCCAGCGGTGTACTCTAGACTTGCTCGGATTCAGCCACCAGAGGAGACTGCACAGCGTTCGCATCTCTGAAGTCCCCTTCCACTATATCTTAGTTGTGTTCTTTCTTTCAGACAGCTTTAGTTTTATTCATACCCTTATTTGTATTGTTCTAGAAGCTCGTGCACCTATGACACAAGTTATGGGATGGTATTTTGACATCGTTATTATTTTGTATGTTCACTTATTTTCAGATTTTATTCCAGTTTGTGGTTTCCTTATTATTATTTAAATTAAATTGTTAAAAATGGATAAAATTATTCTAATATTGGCTTGCCTAGCAAGTGAAATGTGCCATCACGATCCCGAAGGTGGGAATTTTGGATCGTGACAACAAGTCCTTGGGAAATGTGTTAAAGTCGGTTATTTCGTCACTTATCTTATCAGTAAATTTCTTTGAATTGGATTTTCGTAAATTGACTTACCTAACGGGTTGGGTTAGGTGCCATCACGACTAACTGTATTTTGGGTCGTGACAAGTTGGTATCAGAGCTCTAGGTTCATAGGTTCTACAAGTCATGAGCAAGTATCTAGTAGAGTCTTGCGGATCGGTATGATGACGTCCATACTTATCTTCGAGAGGCTATAGGGAATTTTAGAATAAACTTCCCATCTTTCTTTCCTTATCGTGCGGCATTGATTCAGCTTGAAGCGTATCTCTTTAAATTCCTTCCACTCACTTGTATGTATATGTGAACGCTCGATATCAGCTTTGCATCGACGACTTGTGATTCCATGAACGAGGGTCGAGATGTGTATTCTGTGTTTTGGTGATGTGCCAGTCTGGAGGACTTAAGGCCAGGTTTAGACCGCAGCTTAGGCTCAGTATCTTCGATTGTGTGAACTTGTATATTCTGGACTCATATTTCCGGTAGTGTCCCTATGAATGGAATTTTTGGCTCGATTAGCGGTTGAACGACTATATGATGATTTTGATGTAACAGCGGGATGTGTTCAGATGGCTTGAATGTGATAAAAAATGGGCTATTGGGTGTTTGGTGTCTATCATGATTTGACGTATAGTCTCGATTATGAATGTGTTAAAAGATCTTTCACGTTGTTAAATTGTGGGACAAATGAAATTCCCATGTCTTGTTAATGAGTTTGGACTCAGGAAGATTAAGTGAGTGCATAGTAATTGTGGCTGCGAAAGGTTATAGCAAGATTCCAATTTGAGGCTAATAAGATAGGTTATCTCCTGTGGAGTAATCTTCATAGGTGTGTCCCTTATAATGTTGAGTGGAGAGTTTCTTTTCTACCAGCGGGGCGTATGTGTTGAGATTTGAATTTGAATCTAGTTGAGAAAGTTGACGTGACTGTCAAGAGAATAAATGCGAGCTTAGCCAATGATTGAGGTATTTTATGGTTGGTGTTGCATGAGCTTGTGAAGAATTTTTGTTGAAATGACTGCAGTATTATGGTAGTAATAGAGTATGGGTATTGTGAGTTATTGAATGTCATGATTTATGGCTTTGATCCAAGTGGGGGAGTCTGCTATCTACGATTTGATTGTACGGTTATGTGTTGTATTGGTTTTGGTTTGAGGCATACTTGTGGGTCAGTTATGACTTACAAAGGTTGAGATCGAGGATGACTCGAGTAATGAAATTTTTGGATACGGGTTATATTTTACTTTATGAGTATATGAAATTCATGGGATGAGTGAGTTGTTAATTGTGAAGGATGTAGTGTACACGAAGTATGAATTTGATCGGTGGTATTAAAGCGAGGTTACTTCTTTGAGTGTTGTTGTGCTAATGGGGCACATGTCTTTTGTCCCGTTTGGGCGGAGCAATTTAGATTTGAGCAGAGTAGATGGCNCCCGTTTTCTCATTCTTCTTCTTTCTCACCGCCCACACACCATTTTCCTTGATCGATCTGTCCCTTTCTCTTCCGTTACAGGTATCTTCTCTTACGTCATTTCCTCTGTCTTGCGTGTCGGAACCAACAGTTCAACAGGAAAAACCTACTTTCAATATCACCGTCTCGCTTCCGACTAGGTTCAATCGTTTTTTTTTTCCTATTTATTTCTAGTTCTGGGTATTGATTTACTTCGTTAATTCTTCTGCTGCTTTAATTCTTCTACTGCGTATCAATTTTTGGGAATCCTTTCTGTTGGTTATATTCTTGCTTAGTTATTTTAACATTCTTGCTCTGAGTTTTTGAATCTGAGTAGCATTCTTGCTTTGTTATTCATCGTTTGGGTATTCCGGATTAATTTGCATTGACTTGATTTCCCCGTTCTTGTTGTGTCCCTCTATTTAGGTATTTTTGTCTCTCGTGCTTTATTTTGAATCTTTATTGCACATTATCTTTGTGACCTTTAGTTGTAGATTATAGCCCCCTTTAGCTCTTGCATTGTATTTCTTTACCTATTTTTCTATCCTTTAGTTGTAGATTATAGGTCCTTTAGTTCCTTTGTTCTATTTCTTCACTTGTTTGTCTGACCTTTAGTTGTAAATTATAGTTCTTGTTAGTTAATTTATTTTATTTCTTCACCTGTTTTGCAACCTTTAGTGGTAGATTATATTTTGGTAATTCATTTTATTTTTGTCGCTTGTTTTGGGGATAGTGCTTGCGTAGGGACTCCTAGATTATAGTGGCTTTGGTGAACGATAGTAGGGTAAGGTCTTTTCCTCAGGGGTGTCAGCGCGAGGGAGGGGGTGCCGGGGGTAAGGGGGATAAGGGAGCTACTAGGCTGAGAGTGGGGTCTTGAACATAGAAACTTTGACTGGAAAATCTGTAGTGTTAGCGAAGATTCTCAAGAAAAGGAAGATCAATATAGCTTGTATACAGGAGACTAGGTGGGTAGGAGATAAGGCGCGAGATGTGGGCAGTTTTAAACTTTGGTATTCTAGGAGGGTGGGGGCAGGAATGGGGTAGGTATCTTGTTTGATAAGGACCTCCGGGAACTAGTGGTGGAGGTTAGAAGGGTGAAAGACAAGCTGATGACTATTAAGCTAGTTGTTGGAGGTTAGGAGGGTGAAAGACATAATCAGTGCGTACGCACCCCAAGCAGGCTTGGATGAGGAAGTCAAGAGGCATTTCTGGGAGGATTTGCATGAGATGGTGCATAGTATCCCGCATACCGAGAAACTTTTCATAGGAGGAGATTTCAACGGACACATTAGAGCGACGTCTAGGGGGTATGATGATGTACATGGTGGCTTTGGTTTTGGAGATAGAAACAAAGGAGGAACGTCTCTTCTGGACTTTGCTAGAGCATTTGATTTGGTGATAGCAAACTCGAGTTTCCCAAAGAAGAGGGAGCACTTGGTCACCTTTCGGAGTTCGGTGGCCAAAACTCAGATTGATTACTTACTCTGCAGGAAGTCCGATAGAGGTCTTTGCACAAAAGCTAAAGCGCAGGAGTTGGGTGTCCATCCGGTGACCATTGGGGCTTGGAGGAGTAGTGGGGACGCAAGCGATACGTGGACCACAACTGCGCAGTGCATTAGGGAAGCCGCAAGTGAGGTACTAGGGGTCTCAAAGGGTTACTATGGTGTTCACAAGGGAGACTGGGGGTGGAATGGAGAGGTGCAAGAAAAGTGGAAACCAAGAAAGCAGTGTATCTGAAGCTAGTGGAAAGTGTAGATGAGGAGGAGAAGAGGGCGAATAGGGAGCGTTATAAGTTGGCTAAGAAATAGGCAAAACTAGCAGTTATGGCAGCCAAGATTGCAGCTTTTAGTCGTTTGCATGAGGAACTCGAGGGCTGAGGTGGGGATAAAAGGTTGTTCAGGTTAGACAAGGCGCGAGAAAGAAAGGTGTGTGACTTGGACCAGGTGAAGTGCATCAAGGACGAAGAAGGTAGAGTTTTGTTAGGTGAGGGGCTTATCCGTCGGAGATGGCAGACCTACTTCCATAGTCTCTTGAACGATGAGGGGGACAAGAGCATTGTTCTAGGTAATTTGGAACTCTCCGGGAGTCGTTGTGGCTTTGGGTATTGTAGGCGGATTAGAGTTGATGAAGTTGAGGGGGCTATGCATAAGATGAATAGGGGAAAAGCGACCGAGATGGATGAAATCCCGGTGGGGTTTTGGAAGGGTGCGTTCAAAGTAGGCTTGGAGTGGCTGACTAGGTTATTTAATGTCATTTTTAGAACGAAGAAGATGCCCGAAGAGTGGAGGTGGAGCACGATGGTTCCTGTATACAAGAATAAGGGTGATATCCAAAATTATAATAACGATCGGGGTATCAAGCTGCTAGCCATACTATGAAAGTCTGGGAGAGAGTGGTAGAGCTAAGGGTGAGGAAGAGGGTGTCTATTTCTGAGAACTAGTTTGGCTTTATGCCAGGACGTTCGAATACAAAATCCATCCACCTTGTTAAGAGATTGATGGAGCAGTATAGGGAGAGAAAGAAGGACTTGCATATGGTGTTCATCAACTTAGAAAATGCGTATGATAAAGTTTTGAGGGAGGTTTTGTGGAGATGTTTGGAGGCTAGAGGTGTACATGTTGCCTACGTTAAGTTGATAAAGGGAATGTATGATGGAGTAAAGACCCGAGTGAGGACGGTGGGTGGGGACTCGGACCATTTTCTGCTTATGATGGGGTTCCATCAGTGGTCGGCACTCAGCCCTTTTTTGTTTGCTCTGGTGATGGACGTACTGACGCACCACATCCAAGAGGAGGTACCGTGGTGCATGCTATTAGCAGACGATATTGTATTGATTGACGAGATGCGAGACGATGTGAACGCGCAATTAGAGGTATGGAGGCAGACCTTGGAATCTAAAGGTTTTAAGTTGAGCAGCACCAAGACAGAATACTTGAAGTGTAAGTTCAGTGGCGAGACTCAGAGGGGAAGGGGAGGTGAGGCTGGACTCGTAGGTCATCCCTAGGAGAGGGAGTCTTAAGTACCTTGGGTCTATTATTCAGGGCGATGAGGATATTGATGAATATGTCACACATCGTATTGGGGCGGAATGGATGAAATAGTGACTCGCTTCCGGTATTTTATGTGACAAGAAGGTGCCACCGCAACTTAAGGGTAAGTTCTACAGAGTGGTGGTCAGACCAACGATGTTGTATGGGGCTGAGTGTTGAACAGTCAAGATCGCTCATGTCCAGAAGATGAAGGTAGCAGAGATGAGGATATTGAGATGGATGTGCAGGCACACAAGATTATATAGGATCAGAAATGAGGTTATTCGCGACAATGTGGGTGTGGCCCCTATTGAGGACAAGATGAGGGAAGCGCGGCTTAGGTGGTTTGGTCATGTGAAGAGGAGGAGCACAGATGCCCAGGTGATGAGGTATGAGAGTTTGACACTGGAGAGCCTACAGAGAGGTAGAGGTAGCCCAAAGAAGAAGTGGAGAGAGGTGATTAGGCAAGACATGGCGCAGCTTCAGCTGACCGATGACATGACCCTTGATAGGAAGGTATGGAGGTCGATGATTAGGGTAGTAGAGTAGGTAGTCTATAATGTTCATAACAGTAGTATTGGCATGCAGTCTTGCTTTCTGAGGGTAGTAGGTTTTTATGACTAACCGTTGTTTTCTTTCATTGTTGATTACCTTAATATCTTATTATTTTTATTCTACTTTTATATGGCTTTTTGGTACTGTCCCTTCTTGTCTATATTTTAATTAATATGGTGCTTATGCTTTCCTGAGCCAAGGGTCTATTGGAAACATCCTTTCTATCCTCATAAGGTAGGGGTAAGGTCTGCGTACACACTACCCTCCCCAGACCCCATGGTGTGGGATAAGACTGGGTATGTTGTTGTTATAAGGTATTTTCAGAGTGGGTGTTTCGATTTTGGTATGTATGGGGTAATTATGAGGTGGTGAGGCTTTACTGATGTTTTAGTGGCAATAATCTTGGATTTGGTGACCTGCGTGGCTGGGTCGAGTTAGAGGAATTTAGTTCTGATAGCTTGGTTATGTGTAAATTGATTTCAAAGTGTTCTTGATGGTTTCTACCAAAGTTTGAGCGGGATATTATCTACCAGTATGGGGAACGTGTTGTGTATTGTGATTTCCTCCTTGAAGGAAGCAAGAAGAAGGTTTCTAACTAACCGGGTATGTAATTTGCTGGTGACTTAGAGTTGATAATGGGATTCTCATGCTTTTCACATGATAGATGTGGTATGTTATACGGGATTAAGATTTATATGTACAAGGTGACAGTACGGTCTTGAAGGGAAGGTCACAAATTTTGGATAGAATGGTCAGTTTCAGATATTTAGATGAATGTTATAAGTGCTCGATAATCCCTGAGAAGAGTGCGCATTTTAGAAGGCGCATTATGTTTTGACTTACAGATGTTTCGTTGGTATGACGGTACTCACCTGGTTGATAGACTGCTGGTATTCGAATTTTTTCTATGTGGCACAGAAGAATTATAGAAGTATTCCGCGTGAGGTGATCATGCATGTAAGATCTGTTAGTCATTCCAGTACTGAAGTTGGGAGCAGTTATGGTGATTCATGTGTTCTATCAAGTTGGACACTGAGAGTTCTCAGAAGCATATTGTTTCAGGGTTGCGACCTGTTGGGTGAGTCTTTTATTTAAACTCAATGGATGCACTAGTTGCGTTAATTATTTGTGATAGTTGCGCGCTATGAGTGCGCATAAATATGAGGTTTGAGCCCATGTACGAGCATCAGGGAAAGTATTCGTACTCAAAACAAAAATGCTTAGGCTATGATATGCCTAGAGCTGACTATTAAGCTTAAAGTCATAACGTTCTCGTATATGTACCTTTGTTGAGAACTATCTGAGCCATACTTGAGGTTACAAAGAGGGCTAAATCCTTGAATAAACTTGGTAGTTACTAACTCTACGATAACTTGCCGATTTGAGCTGTGATAACACACTTTGCACATGCCTACACTATGGCATGTTATTTATACCAGTCCAGGAGTGTGAGAATCTTATGTCATTATCATACACATGTGTACTTGTTTAATTTCTCATGTATTATATGCTTGGACTGGAGGCCTGTGACCATGGCAGGCGATTTATATTATCAGCACATGAGTTATTCGTGCAACACGTGAGTTGTCCGTGCATATCCATACATTTATATTATTAGCACGTGAGTTGTCCGTGCAGCACGTGAATTGTCCATGCGGATCCATACATTTATATTATTAGCACATGATTTATCCGTGCGAATCCATATATCTATATCATTGACATGTGAATTATCGGTGCAGCGTATGGAAACTATATTTCCTTGATCATTTATCTGATTTAATTATCTTTCCTTTCCTCTACATGTTATGATATTATTTGAGTAGGGTATTTGAGGAATTGACACATGCATCTACGATTATTCTTTTCATGATATTTGATGGTTGGTTGTAAATATTCGGTTGTGTTGGGGTTGCATGTCAATAAAGTGGTTGTGTTTGATGAATAAGGTCATTACACCTAGAAGGGGCACTATCATGTTTGATTACGACGTGTTTGGAAGAATAATTGTAGAAATCGGCTTAGATAATTGGCTATGGTACTTGTTGAATGAGGGAAAACTCCCTAACTTGTTGATCTGATAGGTGGTTATGAGATTCTGTACTTTTCTTTCATTATCATCAGTGTGTGAAGCTTTTGTAATGAGGTTTTGTTTGATATAGGGTTTGATACTAGCACCGGGTTGGCTTTGAGTAGTTACTGTGATCGGGAATGGTGTTGCGAGTATGCGAGTTGTGTAGTATGCTATGTGATTATATCTAGGGCTATGGTTATGGATTGATACAACTTGTTCAGACTTATACAATGTGTAGATGTGAGATTCGGGTCTTGTAAGAAATTTTGGATGTTGGAAATTGGGTACTAAGTTTTACGGACTAAGGTTAAAGTAATGATCTTCAAATAGGATGTATTGACAGGCCTATATGGAATAGGGTGGCCTGGGATCACCCCCGGGTATGTGCGTGGTAAGGTGGAATAGTGATTTGAAGGTTTAGGAACAACTCTTGGCACGTTCGAGGACAAACATATGTTTAAGTGGGGAAGAATGTAACGACCCGACCGGTCGTTTTGAGTATTTACACTCCATTCAACTAATTAAAGTCTTGAATAGCTTTATATGATGTATTATGACGTGTGTGAATCATCGGTTTTTGTTTCAAGTGTTTCAGAATTAGTTCGGAAGAATGAATTTCATGTTTGAAGCTTTAAGTTGGAAGAGTCGACCAAGTTTGACCTTTTAGTATTTGACCTCAAAACGAAGTTTTGATGGTTCCATTAGGTTCGGATGGTGATTTTGGACTCAGGCGAATACCCGGAATTGCATTTGGATATTTCTAGAAGGTTTCGACACCAATTGGCGAAAGGTGGAAACTTGAAGGTTTGGAATATTCATGAGTTTGATTGAAGTTGACTTTGAGGATATCATATTCGGATTGTGGTTCCAGAGATCGGAATGGCTTCGATATGTCATTTTGGGACTTGTGTGCAAAGTTTGAATTCATTTCGTATTGATTTGATATGTTTCAGCGCGAGTTTTGGAAGTTCAAAGTTCAAAAGTTCATTAAATTCGATTCGAGGTGCGATTCGTGGTTTTGATGTTGTTATGTGTGATTTGAGGCCTCGAGTAAGTTCGTATTATGTTATGAGACTTAT